TATACAGCCAAAAGATGATGATTAACAAGCAAAAGACCTAAAAATATGATTGCAGAAATGGCCTTCTCTCATTTGTTTCCTAAAATGACAGCTAACCATTAAATCATTAAAAACAAAACTTGTTTTGGGGATGTAAATTAAATGATTCTGCCTTCCTTGGACAAACACAAAGCAATACCAACATCTTCAGGAACTTACTGAAAATGTTTCCCATTGTGGTTTTATTTTAATGTAGTCACATTTTTCGCCCGGTCACCAGATTGTGAGTCAGTACAAATCACAACCAGGTGCGTTTTCACTATTGCACAAATCTGTCACAAGAGTAGTTAACCGAAATAGGCTTTGTTCAGCATGGAGAAAGACATCAACAATAATACAATCAGACATGCTGCTGTGACCTTCTGTACCTGAACAGAAAACCACATTGGCAGAGAATCCCATCACACCAGGCCAGTAAAATATCACAAACAGTGATTTATTTATAGAGGTTTAATATACATCATAATATGAAAGGATATTAATACAAGAGCCTTTTTCATGTACAAATAACAATACATAAACTGGTTTTCATCTCTTTAGTTTAAATGTACAAACACTTACTCCAATGGCTGTTCTTTAGCAGCATTGCAACCTGGCAAGACTTTTAAAATTGCAGTTAAGTGCAGAAAATGTGTAACGAGTAGAAAATGGAGAACTTCATTTTTTTTTAAAAACAAAGGGTAGAAAAGCAACAAACCTGCCTGCTCCACAGGGCGGACAACAAAAACAAATTAAAAATAAATGCCATTGTCCAATGTTCCAGACACAGAGAAGTACATTTGTGTAATTTTTATAATACAAAAAAATGCCTAAAAAAAGCTTCTCTCAAAGAATTTACAATAACAACATTCTTTTACAGTACATACTGTATAGTTCTGAAATACAACTGAATGATACTAATGCAGAAGGTTTCACCATTGTGTTTTCGAAGCCAACTGTCCTATACAGTATATCAAAGTAGAAGAGAAGAGTTTGTTGGACAGAAGAAAGGCTGGAGGACTTGTTCACTTATAAAACATCCATGGAAGGTTTCTGACTGGTCGCTGAGCTTTTCCCAGCACTTGTCCATTGGATTCTTAATGACTTCGGGGGAGAATCGGAGTTCTACCCCATAAAGCTTAAACTCCTTCTAAAAACAACTCATCATATTTATACAATGCTGTTTTCCATACAGGCACCACATAGTAGGTTAAGTGTTATCTTCATCTCAAGTAGAATATTTTTTTTCATTTGTTTGTTTTATACAGTGCAGAGTATATGGGCTTCGGTTACATAAGCGTGCTTACTGGGGCCGTCCTGTCGGCGCGCGGCACTACTCCAGCTCGTCCGCGGCCACGCAGTAGTTGGGCTTGTCCGAGTGCACGAACCCTGGCAGACACAGGCACCGGTACGAGCCCTGCGTGTTGGTGCACTTTGCGTTCTTGCAGAGCGACATTTTATTGTTGAGTTCGGAGCACTCGTCGACATCTGAAATCACAACACAGAAATCACAGCACGGGAACCGCAACGTTGGTGGGAGCCTCTGCCCAGCTTGGCGGATGTATCGAAAGACGGAGCAGGCCACCCCTGGGAGTGGAGCGCAGCCCGCGTCTGTCTCTGTGTGTCTTCAGTATTGGTCAGGGACTGCAGAAATCTGTTTGACTGCACATTTAGTTTACCATTTACACTGACGCAGTCAGGTGCAGAGGACGCCTTTAAACCGAACAGTGGTTCTCGCATGGAAAAACTACGTGGAAGTTCATTTAAAAAGGAGAACAGGAGGCATTTCTTTACCCCAAGCGTTGTGGGAGTGTGGAACAAGCTACCATGTGGTTGAACCCCATACCTTGGCTTCTTTCAAGAAACAGCTGGATGAGATCCATGGATCACTGACGTGCTGGCTACCAAACGCAGCTCTATGGCCTCCTCTCCTTAGTAACACCTCTGGTGTGCGCTATGCTCGGTAGAGAAGGCTGAGTGGTGGCGGGGTGGCCCTGCGCGGCGACTGCAGGGAGCGTGTCGCGGCAGTGACCTGTAAAAGGCCCTGACACACCCAGGCCCAAAACGGCCAGCGCTCACTGCGACTCCGCGGAGCTGGGGTGCGGCCCCCCCGGAGGTCAGGGCGCGAGAGCGAATCTCTTTCTTTCTCTCTTCTGCAACCCTGGGGCTTTGTGACGGGCGGCGGGCGGGTGGCGGCTCCCCTCGCTCTTACCGACGCAGGCCATCTTGGCCAAGTCGAGGGAGTAGCCGTCGAAGCAGTCGCAGGTGTAGCCTTCCTGGACCCGCACGCAGCGGCCGTTCTCGCAGCCGTTCAGGACGCCGCACTCCTCCGCCCTCAGCCCCTCGAAGGCGTCGTACTGGTCTGTGAGGGGCAGGCGAGCGTGAGCACGGACGGCGAGAGGACGAAGGACCGGACGCGCAGCCCGGCCTGGAGGATAGGGGCTGCTGGGCTCTGGCTGGTCAGCCACTTCCTTAGGAGGGCACTGTCGCAGTTTTCTCAATTCCGTTTACAAGAAAACATAACTTATCCTCTTTACACCATCCAGAAATTGAGCTACACCTTCTAAGTAAATGGCTTGTGAAAGGCTTTAAATTTATTTTGCAAATATTACTCAGCGTAATCTAGCCGTGCTTCGTCCAGTCTGCCTGAAACATCTCTAGTGTCTCCGCTGCTCGGCTCAGAAGGATGCACGGGGCCTCTTCAGAACGGACAGGAGGAGACGCCACTAGATGGCAGCAGCAGGCAGCATCAGTATTGTTCCGATTTTAGAAGCGAAGGTTACACTTACGTTCTTCGTCGTCATACATGGGCAGAAACTGGGAATCGTGGGGCGGCGAGTCGTACTCCAGCCCTGGCACAGGGAAGCCGGGCTGGAAGGGCGTCAGGGCGTCCTGTCCGTATGCACGGCGCTCGCCAGGCCCGGGCAGGTTGCACATGGTGGTGTAGTCCGCTGTGAAGACGGGGAAAGTCCTTTCAGCGTGGATAATGCATCCATCCTTTTTCTAACCGCTTCATCCCATGCAGGGTGGCGGGGGGGGCCGGAGTCTATCCCAGCATGCCCCGGGCGCACGGGCACACCCCGGACAGGGCGCCAGTCCGCCAGTCTGCCGCAGGGCGCTCACTCACCGCAGGGCCAGTTCTCCCAGAAGCCAGTCAACCCACCAGTATGTCTTTGGACTGTGGGAGGAAACTGGAGCCTCTGAAGAAACGCACGCAAACACAGGTAGAACAAATCCAATCCGCGCAGCAGCACCCCAGGGGCTGGAGGGCAGCAGTGCTGACCGCTGCGCTGTCCTAGCATGAATCGTATCCGCGCTCATTTTGTTCTGAGGTTCCAGCTGAGTGCTGTGCACACAGCACCCAGAACGCAGACTGTTAAGGTTGTCTTGCAGAGATCGTGGGAAGCCCCCAGTTAGGTGGAAACTGTATTGAACTGGGAGGGGGGTCAGTCCACTCTGCCTCGCCAGAGCCCCTGCAGGTGTGCATTCAGGACACATGGCGAACAGCCCTCCCTGAGTTAACAAGACAAAATCACTGTGGGCTGCCAAAAGGGGTACATGCTGCAGAGGTCCATTCCACTTTGATGAGCAAAAAGGGTGTAGAGTACACCACAGTTGAAACGTCTAGGATTTTATTCTTCCTACTTTCAACATGGAACTAATTCTTACTTGTTTTCTGTGTACAGTACTTGGTGCCCCTTGTATACCCAGGTGTTACACTACCTGTACGAAATAGTGTTAAAAGGTGCTTTTAGTGGTTAGGAAAGAACAAGGGAGAACTGGATCCAATACGTCTGAAAGCAGACGTACAGTAATCAGTGTCACAGCTTGGAGAGCTGCTGGGATCATCAGCACAGCAGTTCACAGGGTCTCCTCTCCTAGGAGCTCAGGGTTCGGGCTGAATTACACTCTTAAGTACCTAGTTACACAGTGTGAAAGAGGCAGTACACAGCACAACGTCACTCTTCAGCCACAGATGCCCCATATGTGATACTCAACCCAATTCAGTAGCTTAGGAGAAACCCATGACTCCTTGCAACACAAGACCAGCACAGAAGATGCAGATTAACAGAGCAACTAGTGCCCTCTAGTGGAACCTGGTGAGTACTGGACGTTTTTTCACATGCAGCATATTTTATGTTTAGGAACAAGTAAATAGGTTTATTCCATGCTGAAGAAGGCTTCACAGTATGCTTCCTCTTCTCGTTTCAGCAGGGAATAAACCCATTACTTGTTCCTTTGCAGACTACGCTTGCTGATGCAGCTCCCCACCTGAACTAGTTTATGTTTGATATACTTTTCAGTACTGTACACTAATATTTAACTGCACCACTCCTCTCTGAGTTGATACTCAGTTAGGAAATAATTATTAATCATTAGCAGGAATAATTATACACTATATTTTCTTATAGTTACTGAACCCAGGGCGGCAGTGCTCTCCACTGCACCACCATCCAGGCTCATCTAAAGGAGAGGGGAGCTTTATCCTTGAGTCTCAGCTAAAACCAACACCCTCATGTCTCCCTTCTTACCACACAGCCTGGATTTGCAATCCACACCAGAAAGGTGCACAAATCCGTCTCCCTCTCTCTTCCAACTCTCATTTTGGACGAATGAACATTGTTTAGGCAATAATTTAATTGCACAGAAATAAGTCCTGAAATTCATGTTGTGTTCGATTGGGGGAAAATTCCTGGTGATTCGCAAAGCGTGTACAATATGCCTTTTATGAGAAGAGAGAGAAGAGTTTAGCCTGATGAGTGAAATGGCAAGGACAAAACTAGATGGAAGGTCATGTGAGCATAGTCAAGAAAACATAAGAATGTAATAGTGTTGAATAAAAATGATAACTAGACTGGGCTATCAATCCATAAGCACTTATCATTTTCCCATAATCTGAGTGAATCTGTCACAACATAAAGCCAAGACCCCCATGTGTTTAATGGTTCCTCGGAAATTCCTAAGTGTTCTCCGTAACACAAAATTCTGCCTGCCCTAGTTGTAATTCTCCTTCACAACTTCCAGCTTAGGCCTGTTGTAACCCCTGGGTCCAGAGCGGACCCCCCCAGCTCTTCATTCATCTAAACCCCCGTCTCACTGCACAAGTCTTTGAACCACGTTACATCTCGATGCTTCATCTTGCTTACCTGGGCTAGCATGTGGTATTGGCAGAGAAGGCCGCTGTGGGGGTTCTGCTCCTGAGCCTGCTCTTGTTCCTGTACGGTATTAGTACCGCGGTGGTCCATGACCACCAAGTGGAGGTGGTAAGAGGCTCCTCTGAATTGGTTAAACGTCGTCAAGGCGTCTTGACACTGCACTTGCTTGGATTGCCCAGCATCTAAAGAGCAGCGCAGACCTGTCTGATCCCCGGGCCCGCGCTGGAAATCTGCTGCATTCTCAAGGGACTGACGTACCTGTGTTCTTCATGGGACAGAAAGCGCACTCCATGCCCCAGGCCTCGCCGTACAGACAGCAGCACTCGGCGAAGGTGGTTTTCCTTCCCGGCAGCGGGTTGTTGCAGGTGTTGCCCTCGACAATGGTCTGCCAGCACACATCCTGGAACACCACGCCCTGGCCCCTGTGCTCTGGGAGCGGCACACACCAGCACAAGCATTAGGCCTCCGTAGCAGGGACTGATCGACAACTCTGCTCCAGGACCTCCTTTGTAACTTTAAAAGATCAACTAGCGCTAAGCCTGGAAAACTGGCTTTGGGAGGGTACGTTTACTGGGGGGTTTTGATCGTGATGCCACCCCTTCACAGTAAAAGCCGCCGAGGGTCTCTCATTGCTTTTCCCTTTCAGGTTTCGACTTCTCTCTCTGCACAGTGTATTCTCATCCCTGTTTATCACCACCACCGTTTCCATGACGTCACATAACGAGGTGCCTAGAGCTCAGCCACCCGGAAAAAAAGGTGCGAAAAAAAACAGGTCTTTTCCACAGACACAGGAAATGACTGAACAAGGCCTTTCAGAGCTGCAGGTATGACACCCAGCTGCGGAATACAGCTCCCAGACACAGTGCTGTCTGCCACATGTTTCTCACAAGGTTAAGAGCAGCTCAGGTATAGAAAAAAATCTGTTCAGAGTTAGAAAAACTGGGCACATGAGTAGGGAAAAAAAATAAAAGAGTGGCCAGAGGGAATCAAGGGCAATTTTTTTTAGAACATTTTGCACTTTTAGAACATGATACCAGATTTGAAGGGTGTGTACATGGAGAACAGACTTTTGTTTAGCTATTATATATTAGATATTAATCACTCTGCTGCAGATTGACAGAAAAATTCGCACTGATGTGTTTTCACCAGTTGTTTATCAGCTTGTTTTTTCTTGTACCACACGGGTAGCGGGGTGTGTCCCCCTCTGTGGCCACCTGATGGGGCCCTTCATTATTTGACCCACTGCAAACTCCTCTGTGCTCTACCGGGGAGAGAGAGAGAGCGCCATCTGGAGGAGAAGCAGGTTTTTCCCCAGCAGGTCCCAGGACTTGCTGCTGTGTCGAAAGCCAAGGTGACAAAGGTCACGCAATCCTTGGCAACCCCGTGACCCTTGACCTGGCTTAACCTGCACTTTGATTGGCAGACTCAGGAGCTCCTCCTACTGGCTAATGTGAAGGTTTGCAGTCTGGTCCGCTCACCACCAGGCTCTGGTGCTCCAATGCAGCGTTTCCCACTGGAATCCAGGACCATGGGGGGCGTGCAGAGGCAGGTGTAGGACCCTTCTGAGTTCAGACATATTCCGTCTATACAGCTGGACTCATCTTCACACTCGTCAAAATCTGCAAGGAGGAATTTTCTAGTTAGTGCCGATATGGGTCCTAGGTCCCTGACTGCAAAGTTGTAGGTGGAGGGGGTTCTTGCTATACCCATGAAAACATACTGGATCAGTCCAGTAGAACCCAGCTTCAGAGATGGGATTCAAAAGAAAGGTAATAACTCATCTAAGGTTTAGATGGAAAAAAATCTAGAGTCTTGTTCAATCAATACATTCTCTTGTCCTAGCTTTTCTATGTCACACATTTCACAGACAATCTTACAAGACTGAAATAGACATCCTCCTGCCACCAGCACCATCAGACTTTAATCACTTATCAGATTCTCACTGCGTCAGCTGGTGGAGCCATGCTGGGCTCTGGTTTCGGAGTGCTGGATAACCTTCCAGTCAGCCATCTCTCCTCTAAAGGCTGCAGTGCTACAGTGTGCCAGATCATTTGGCCAGATGTGCATTGCCTCACACTGTTTTCTGAATCAAAGTTGAAGCGCCTAGACCACCAATTGGTTTCTGAAATAGCTCTGGCACAGAGTCAGATCCCTGTAATCCCCCCTCCAGGACAAACATTTAAATATTTACACTGCTGTCCCTCAACACAATGGCTGGTGAATGGACACCCCTTGAGAGCTCCTCACAACACAGGTGTCCCTTGGGAGCAATCAAGGGTCCTCACAGCTGCAGAGTATACAGACATCACATTCCCTACTGTTCAGACCTTGCTGCCCTAAGAACATTTCCTCTTAGGATTTAGCTTGTCTTTAAAAAATATCATTTAAAAGAATGTTTTGAATGCCTGTTCAAAATCCTAATCTCAGCTGCTGAGCATGATGTCTTCTGCCTTCTTTACAACGTTTGGAGGTGACATCATCCTATTAAGTGTAGGAAAGGCTCCATGTTTTAGTCATGTACTACAGCAGTAATCCCAGTTAGGCATTTTCCAAGAGAGAGCTATTGCTATGGTAACTGTAGTGGAAACTACAAAAACGCACAAGAGCGCTCACAAAATCCATTTCTAACCGCTTCTTACAAAACAGGGTCATCACAGGGCACAGACATACACACTCGCACCCAGTGCCAATTTTCCGAGAAGCCAGTTAGCCTGCTGGTATGCCTTTGAACTGTGGGAGGAGACCATACTAACACACAGACAACACCCCACGGCCGGACCTGGACCCAGGACACCAGAGCTGTGAGGCAGCGATGCTAACACCTGCACCACTCTGCCTCCTGCAATCACAAAATCAACTGAAATACAGTAAAAGATGACCTAATCATTTGTGATACAGCTGACATTTAAATGTGGTGGGGAGCATAACATCAATACCAGTCCTTCAAACACTGTTTTTCATTTTCAGTCTTCTCACTTTAACTTTACTTAATAAAGAAAGCGTTTCTGACAAAATCTTCTGTTACTCACCCACACATTGTTGCTTTACTACATCGTAATACAAGCCATGTTTACAGTAACACTCAAAACTTCCATGTGTGTTTAAACAGAACCCATCCTTACAGATTTCTTCAGCAAACATAGCACACTCATCAACATCTGTGAAGAGAAAAAAGAAGTTATCAGAAACCTGGTGCGTTAGCCCTTCAAAAGATAATCCAAATATTTCCATACAAAATGTCTAGAACATACAGAAATAACTGTAACTGCTTCTCTTGAGAATACTATTTCTAACTTGCAGTTAAAAAAAAATGTCAGGAATATGAATTCAGTTTGCCATGATTGTACATTGAAGTCAGAACACAAGATTATGTTGTTTCTTATCCATAACACAGAAAAAATCAATGAAACTGAAGTCTGAAAAATATCTTGTTCTTTTGAAGTCGCTGTTGTAATTTATTTTTACTTCAGGGGAAGGCTCCCCCTGCCCCTAGACGTCTGGGACAGGATCCAAGGCACTGTGACTCTTACCAAGAATAAGAAGCTTTCTGATAATGAACAAACAGATGGATTGGACTGAATTTCCACTTGAAATTAGTGTGGACGTCACATATGAGCATACTTGTCCATTGTGTGACAAAAAGAAAAGTTAGGCAAAGACAAAAGGCATCAGAAAGTGGCTCTGACTTGGTTTTTAATTGCAACATGCAGAAAGGTCTGTGTGCGGATTTAGAGTATTAAATCTAAATTGAGTACGGATGCTTTCAGAATCATGACCACATCTCGGTCTCTTTGAAACGACAGAGAGCAGTGCTCAAGCATTTAAGTAAAAGCTCTCCCTCCTGATCCTCTCTCTAACCTACAGGCTGTATGGTCCAACCACACTTACCTTCAAATTTGTCTGCCCCATAATGCGAGTCTGCAGTTGGAATGAGACCCCTTCCTGCAGGACACATTTCGGAAAACTGATCTGCAAACAGAAAAAAAACGCTTCAGCCTTTTTATGGTTACTGTGCAGCTTCATCATCATGTTTCTATTTGTTCAGGTTAAAACCTTTCAATTCATTTTAAAGCTGTTTAACTCCAGAGAACCCTTCACACTTTCTTAAAAAGACAGGTCCATGCAAACTCCCTTTTTGCGAGAATGTCAATCAGCTCATCAATGACCTCCTGGTTTCTACACCACAGACTTGCAAGGCTCTGGAAATCAAACAGCTAGCCTTGAGAAATGCAATTCTCACTCTGAGAGTTCGAAGTCAGTTTCGGTGAGGGTACTGTATATAATGAAACAGTCGAGCTGGTGGGCTTTTCCCAGTTTGCTCGGCGTTAAGGCTCAGCTGGACGTGAGCCTAGTCCATTGCAGGGCATGACTGTAGGGGTGAGGCGGCTGGAGCCCCTCAAAGCAGGGACTGAGACCCACGTCCTTCCAGCTCTGAGCCCAGAGCCCTATGTGCTGCCCTGCACTGCTGCCTCCACCAGCTGGACAGAAAGCATCTAGCCAGAGCAGTGGGAGGGACCCAGTGCTGCAACTCATTCAGAAGAGCATTTTTTAATGTGCCTTCTTTGATTTCTGCAAAACTGACGTTTTCCAGGACTGATTTTAGCACAGATGGCTTCATAAAGATACAAACATGAAAGAAAGCCACAGTAAAATGTTGATGAATTCTATGTTTAATCCAAAAATCTCCCCTAAATGACCAGTACATAATGATCCTGAAGGTCAGGTCCTAGTTAAGGACTCCCGCACCTATTTTTACCAGAATATGCACGTAGCTTGGATTATAGGAGAAGTTAAAATGATCTCCCCTTGTGCAAAGTGATGTTGTAGAAAGCAAAGTTTCAGGTTGCAGCTGCAGATGCATAATTAGGTGCAGGTGTATAATTAATAGGATGCAAATATCCCAAAGTGAGATACAAGTGTCCTTAGAGAGCACTTAGAG